TTAAGAGTGAGGCTTAAGCTGAATGCTTTTTTCACAGCACACCTTCTCAGCACCACTATTCTGTCTGCTTTTCCTATCAGGGATGACTGGTGGTGGAGAGCCTTGTGGAGGCTATAGGGAGTGACTGTTTTAGTCCCCACTTGTCAACAACATGGGTATATAAAGGGGTTGCAGTGATTTGATGAGGTGTCCCAGCTCTGTTTTTCCCACTGAAGTCAAATATAACTCCTCTGACCTGGGAGACGAAGGGGAAGATGCTCAGCTTCATGACTAGCACCTCTGTTACATCATGAGAAAGCATTAATGCCACACTGGCTAATAAGGCAAGAAGAAGGAATGAAGGTAGGGGAAAAGCAGAGTTCTTCAAGCCTCTTTGTTTCCTTCCAATCCTCAGAAAATTCATTTGTTTACTTTGAATCATGTTCCAGGTTTTTTTTTTTTTTGGTGATCATGAGACTAGAGTTATGCTATATGTAGTTGTTCCTTCATGCTAGAAAGGTTCATTTCTCAGCATGAAGGTGAGCATAAACTCAGAAAAACAAAGTTTTAATTCTGTTTCTGATGTGCACTTTGGGCCAGATTTCATATCTGAAGGGAGAGAGGTCAGCTGTGTTTGTAGGTTCAAAGATTAAGTCAGGCATTTGGAACTGGACTTAATGATCCTCTGGATCCCTTCCAAGTCAGTATATTCTGTCATATCAGTGACATGAAAATCTTAGTGAAACTAAATTCTTTAACAATCAGGTACTCAGTGTTTTATTATTACACCTCGTTTATTAAACCATGACACAAAGATTTTCTGGCATAACTTCAAGTGGCAAAATGGATACCAGAATTTCATAGCACAAACTGAGACAAGCAATATTAATTGATGATTACTTCTGGAATTGTGGGTCGTAATACTTCTCTGGTAGTTTTTTGTTTCTCTCTTTGTTTTTTGAAAGAAGGAGTTACATTTAAAAGGAAAGGGAACCAAGTCTCTCCATTATCTAGTTAAGACTCTCCAGCCTTTCTGACAAGTGTCCAGGTTAGCACATTTTAGACAGCACAGGCGTATTTTGTCAGAACTTGTGGGGAATGCTGACTCAGGATAAGGCAAAACCCACAAGGCATTGAACTAATTGTGAAATGCCTTGTGTGGAAAAATGACTTCCTGATCCTGGCAGTAGCTGCCAGTGCTTTGAAACACGATGTTTGAATGTCTGCATTGTGCTCCTGCCTGAAAGATAATAATATTAAGCTTCTAAACATAATTTGTAATATCTACATTTATATATACATCTATTTGCTGTGAACTCCTATTCTGAGAGATACTGTGTAGCTGAAATACTGCAGTGAATTTCTAACACATTGAGCTATTTGAGCTGACTGAGATACAAACTGTAAACAGATAGTGAAAAGGGCTGTAAGTCTCTAATTTTGGGAACATTTTTGTGGCTTTATTAACCCAAGGCTTTATAAGCAATGTAGACTTTTAACAGCATATTTGACTGACTCAAAATAAATGAGGTTAGTATCAAGTCTACCTCTAAGTGTCTTGACATAATCCCAGGAAAATGACTTTTGATGGAAACTGTGTTGATGAAAACTACCCACAAAATCAATTTTTGCTGAGTAGGCTGAATGGTCAATTCTATATCAAAAGTGTCTTTGTGTTTGGGAACTAAAGATAATTCCCATGGTGGGAGTATCTTGGAGTCTTGTAGTCAGGTAAACCCAGCCCTCCTTCTGCCAAAATTCAGAATGGTTCTGGCAGAGACCCAAAGACTCTTGGACAAATCCATCGTCATAAGGTTCAGCACATCCAAATTTCTAAAAGCAGTGCAGTTATACCATCAGAGGCCAGAGAAGACATCTGGAGTGGTTTGATTTTACCCCTCATCTTTATTCCTGTTTTATTCCTGTTACAGGCCACTTTTGACTAGCTGGCAGAGTAATAATGCAGCAGGGTTGAACAAGTGCCAATTTAATTTCTACACAGTTTCAATGCCACATTTTTGAAGGTAGGCAAAGGCACAGATACAGGAAATGAAGGGTACAAAAGTACCACAGAATGGATCTGCATCTGTTACAGGACATTAACCATGGTAATCTACAGAAATTTACTTGAAAGTTCTGTTTGTTTAGGTTAAGACCAAAACTTGCTTTTGCCAAGTGCTTACAGCCAAAGGACAGCGAGTTCCTGTGATCTGCAGTCCAGTGCATGGTGGCATTTCAGTTGGCCGGTGTATAGAAGGTTGATAGCATTGCAGAGGGTTTATTCATTTCAGTAGAAGATGTCCAAATGGATCCAAATGAGAAGTTTTTCTATGCTGCCTTGCATAGCAAGGTTAAGAAAAAAACAGTTACAATTTAAATAAATCAGATGTTTTTGCTGAAGATTATACTGTCATTTTCTCCAATTATTCTTGACATTTCACCCATTCATATTGTGATCTGAGTTAATAATGGAAGAAAACCCAGCTCTTGTTGCCTTGTTTATTCTTTGTTCTCAAGGAGATAAGCTGTTTATAAAGATAAGTTATTTGTTATTTAAATCACTTTTACAGAATTTGTTTGTTTCCTTGTTTGAGTTTCTAAATATATTGCAACAATTGTGATGCATCTTTGAGATGTCTATTCAATTCACTATGATTTGTACTGGAATTCATTCCTAAATGGGCACAGGTGTTGATAGCTATAATATGCTGGAATGAGTCAAAACCAATAAATGCCCAATAGAGGAAAGATGAAAGAAAATGCACTGAAAACAGCACTTTTAGGATGTGATAAATAGGCACTTTAATTCACTACTTAATTAGGTATATAGCGCTGAAGATGTGTCTCGAGCAACTACGTATTTTAAACAGCTGAACATGTTAGAGTGTAACTTCAATCATTGCTAATATTTTCAAGATCATAAACATTATTTTTAGAATTAGCAATACTATTCAGGATATAATCAACTTTTGTTTGCAAGCTGTTCTGTAGTACCCTAAAGCAACATTTTTCAATACTTTTGTAAAAAAAAAAAAGTTAATTGATATTCTATGAAAACTACTTGCTCACTTTCTCATGTTGCACAGAAATTAAATGCAAGAACGACATATAGGAATTCTGATGTTGCAAAACCAAAAGTCAGTCTAAACTCTTCCTTGGTGCTTTTACCAGGAACAGACACTTTGTAAACTATTTCACTATTTCATACACAATGCACTCTGCAGGCAACATCTGCTGAAGCCCCATCCTGGCCTTTGGGTGCATTTCTATCAGGAATGACAGGCTGGCCAATGTGTGAGTGTTATGATTAGTGATTCCTGAGTGCCAGTGCCCTTCCCTTGGAGTGCAGGCTTTTTTCACTGTGCCTTTCTGTCAAAAGAACTTTGTAGTTGCAGGGGATGTGCTTGGATAAGGCAGTCAGGTATCTACTAAACGAGGAAGGTGGTCAGCATTCTCCCAAGAATTCTCAGAAATCCCACGTGGGTATTTGAACTGATACCAAAGAGAAGGTTTACTGTATGCTAAGCAGACACTGAGACTAAATCAGCCTCTAGAGTTTGAATTATCTCCAGAGAAATCTGCTTTTATGTTTACATATCTTGTTGCATTTTAAATACACGTTCATAGGCATAAAAATTATACCGATAGACATAAAGCTGATACTGCTGATGTGCAGATAGGTTGTAACTCTGGCCAGGGATATTTGTCCTTAATATTTTATGAATATCTATCCTTAGTATTTTATGGTCCATGTTTTTAGAGATAAAAGCACAAGACAAATTATCAACAAATGCAAATTTAGTTGCCAAAACTCCCTGATGACAGCTGTGGCACCCAGTACAGGCATGGTGCAGCACAATACAAATTACAGAGTCACAGAATAGTTAGGGTTGGAAGGGGCCTCTGGAGATCATCTTGTCCATGGCAAGGTCACAGGTGACACAGGAATGTGTCCAGGTGGCTTTGAATGTCTCCAGAGAGGGAGAGCCCATGACCTTGCTGGGGAGCTTGTTCTGGTGCTTGGCCACTCTCATTGTAAAGAAGCTCTTCCTTGTATTGAGGTGGATGAAGAAGCTGGAGTGCATGGGTAGTGCTGTAAGGTGATATGTGGGGCTCCAGGTGGGTTTGGAAAGTGGATTTGTACCAAGTGGCTGAAATGTCTGTGCAGGGAGTGCGGCCCTGGAGCAGCCAGGCAGGTGGGCTCTTCAGGGGCTCCCACATTGCCTGCAGCACATTTTGGGGGGAAAAGAGGGGCAAGGAACCAGGAAGCAGCAAAGGACCTGGGGGTGCTGGTTGACAGCGGCTCAACATGAGCCAGTGTGTGCCCAGGTGGCCAAGAAGGACACTAGCATGCTGGCCTGTATCAGCAATGGTGCGGCCAGCAGCACCAGGACAGCAATTGTCCCCCTGTACCTGCCCTGGTGAGGCCACACCTCAAATCCTGTGTTTGGTTCTGGGCACCTCAGTGCAAGAAGGACATTGAGGGGCTGGAGCGAGTCCAGAGAAGGGCAATGCAGCTGGTGAAGGGTCTGGAGCACAAGTCCTGTGAGGAGCAGCTCGCTGGGCGTGTTTAGTCTGGAGAAAAGGAGGATCAGGACTGACCTTATTGCTCTCCGTTACTGCCTGAAAGGAGGTTTTAGCCAGGTGAGGTTTGGCCTCTTCTCCCAGGCAACCAGTGACAGGATGAGAAGACACAGCCTCAAGCTGCGCCAGGAGAGGTTTAGGCTGGACATGAGGAATTTCTCCATCGAAAGGGTGATTAGATATTGAAATGTGCTGCCCGGGGAGGTGGTGGAGTCACAGTTCATGGAAGTTTTTATAGTGCCATAGTCTAGTCGACATTGTGGTGTTCGGTCATAGGTTGGACTCGATGATCTCAGAGGGTTTTTCCAAGCTAATGGACCCTATGATTCCGTGACCCAGGCGGGAGCGGGTCGCCCAGCACCGGCCGCGCACGGACTCCCCCCAGCCCCGCGGGACTCCATTTCCCAGCACGCCCCGCGCCCCGGCCGCCGCGCCGCGCCGGGAAGATGGCAGCCCTTGTGTCGCCCTTGGCCACTGCGCGCTGCCTGCTGCGGGCTCTGGGGTGCCGCGGCCGCCTGCTCCCGCCGCACAGAGGTCAGTGCCGCCGCCGCCGCCGCGGCTCTCCGGGGCTCGCCAGGCCCGGGCGGGCGACAGGCTGCCGGGGCACGGCGCAGGAACGGCACGGAGGAGCGGTCGCAGGAGCCGGTGCGTGCCTTCCCTCCCCGGCGTGCCGCGGGTCTGTCCCCGGCGGAGGGGAGGTGGTGGCGGCGCCGGGCGGGGCACGCGGCAGCGCCGGGACGCGCACACGCCTCGCCGCTCTGCCGTGACCTGCCGGTGTCCTCGCATTCCCGGCCTGGGCTTGTCCGCGACACAGCCCCGCAGGGGACCTGCCTGCCGGGGCGGCACCGACAGTCGGCTCCGGTCACCGGCTGACCCGCGAAGGGGGCCCGTGGCTTCCCGAGTCGGTGATGCCGCTTTTCCCCGGGGAAATAGGGCCTCGGTGATGCCGCTTTCCCCCGGGGAAATAGGGCCTCGGTGCTGCCTGGTTAACGCCTTGCGGCTGCACCGGCTCTCGGCAAGTGCACCGGTGGCTGCCAGCGCTTTGGCCGAGCCTTGGGCTGTCTCAGGGACTGTTCTCTGTAAAGGACCCTCCGGTGTATAGCAAACGACAGCCGTGCTCTGTCTTCACAGCAGTGCAAAAATTTATGGAGTTTTGTTAACTTGAGGCTTAGGTTAGGAGCAGAGATCGTTTTTCTTTAGTGAGAGCTCTTCGTCCTCTGCCAGTCTGGCCAAGGTGTGAGAGTTCAGCTGGTGACTGGTGGGTCCCAGGACTGATAAATGTTCACATCCACACATTATGTTGTGATTGTAGAATATTTATGCATCCTAAGAAAAATAGGCAAGCGCTGCGGTACTGTAGTTGCATGTGTTTTATTTTATATTGGTCTAACACTTAGACTCTATGTAGATTGGTTTTTATAACCAACATACTAGCATTTAGAAAAAGGTGTCTGAGTAAATCCAGTGGCTTTAGGCAGTTTGTCAACTTCCGTGTTAAATAAAAAGTAGTCCTTGCTTATGTTGTTTGAGGACGTCAGACTGTAGGGATGGGCTGCCATCAAGGAATTGATTTAAAGTCTTGGTTTTATGATCACTGGTTTCTACTGTATTCTTTGTTTTTATGATTTGCTTTGTACAGTTGTGTACCTTTTCCTTAATTGAGGAAAGACATGACAAGTAGTATCTGTGTAAAGTTCCAGTTTCACTGGTGTGCTTCTCGTCTCCCTACTTTCATCTATAGGTCAGGTTGTGAAATGGGATGTGCATGGAAAAAAATACAAGTAGTCTTCTAGCAGAATAATGTATCAGGCATGTATGCAAAAAGTAGAATTCTAGTCCTGCTCATGTGTCATATGCTGACCAAATGAATGGCCTTCAGTGATTTATCTAAGGTCATATAATGAGACAAAAATGCAAATCATTGTCAATGTCTTAGTTGCAAGCTGCTTCTTCTGGTTTAATTACTAATTTTAGCAAGTTAGGGGCTTTTATGAATTTTACATGATATTGGCCTAACATCTTCAATTCATGCAAATAACTTAGTATGTATGCACCCCCCCCCCCAAATATGGTTGGTTGGATTTAGATTTTTTTAAGCTTTCTGTTAAACACTGGAAAGTAAAAAAAATTTTCAGATCACTTCCTCTTACATTCCTGCCATTAATCATAGTGCAATATTTTGAATGGAGCGTTTGTGTATTATAGGACTATAAATGTATTTTTAACTTTATACCTAGCACATGATCTCTTTCCCAAGAAGCTTACATGGCAAGTCTTTGTGCTTAACTTTAACACATGTGTTTAATTTATCCAAATCCTTTTACGTCATGGGGCAATTTACCTGTTTGAGACTGATTCTGTGAAACTTGCATATATATTAAATAAAAGATGAGACAAGAGAACATTATTATTGTTACAGGTTCTAGCGTGAAATAAAATTCTTTCTGATCATTTGCTACCTTTGCTCCTATTTTCACGCAGGAAAATAACCTTTGGAGCTACAAGACTGTACCATTGCCCTTCCTCATCACTGTGGTGTCATTGAAGAAGGAAACATTTTGCAGCAGTTCTGTTACAAGTTTGATCTTGAGTTTAGGTCTCTGATACCACCATCTGCCTGTTGATGAGAGTGCCCTCTGACTTCCAAGTCCTCTTTTTCTGTTGTGGCAGTTATGCTTCATAGGCAGTTTTAACAGCTTTACACAAAGAGCTTCAAGGTTTGAAGCAGTTTGGCTTCATTGTGACCCAAACTGATATTCTGAACTTCAGCTTGGATTATTGAAAACATGACATTTTTTAAAAGTTGGCTTCTATTAATATTTTTTTCCTCTCATCACACAAATTTCAGGGTTTGTGAAAAGCTCTCAAGGCAGATTATGCTGGCAAAGCAGTAATGAAACAGATGATCCTTGTACCTTGCATTAACACTGATTTAGTAGAAGCTATTCCAGCTTCTTGACAATGACTGTCAGTCAAGGTGGCACTTGGGTGATCTTGGGCTACTTAATTTTGGTGCAGTTGTAACCGACATGAGTTTGGTTTAGATGCAGTTCTCGCAACTCTTTGCAGTCGGAAATGTTCTCTATTTTTAAGACAAACAGTAATTAACCCTTACAGCAAAGAAAGAAGGGGGAAGTGTTAATTCTCTACCTTGTAGCTTGGTTAGCTTTCTGTACTCCCAACCTCTTGGCTGTTGTCAGGATCAGTTTTGGTATGCCACAGCTCAACTTCCATGTCAGTTTGTCTTCTTGCATAAAAAACTCTAGTGCCTGCCTCAGAAGTGACTGTTGCTTTCATAAGCTGGGTCATTGAAACTCGCATGCCTTTTTGGTGTCATCTCAGACTTTACTTTTAATTAGCAGTAGAAAAATTCAACACACTGCTCACTGTTTTCCAATTTGCTGTTTTTTTCCGGAGCAGAAAGTCCCTGCAGTTATGAACACTTATAATTTAATGTAGGCATTAATTATCTTTGCAGTGGTAAATTAATGTCACTCTACCAAATATGTCTTAAGTTCCCCACTTGAAAGAAATTTTCATATAATTCCAGATTGGCATTTTAAAAAATAAGTTTTATTTGTCTTGGTGAGATTTCCTCCTCTGATTTCTTTCTTTTTTTTGGGGTGTATCACTGTAGGTCTTCATTGCAGCTGTGTCTGTGATCCTTGTATGTGTAAGCAGGAAGGCAAATGCAAAGACCTAATTAAATAGTATGAAATAAAGTGAGATTATACTATCATATGTATGTTCTTGGAACAGGAATTTAGGAAAAAAGTTGCAGCTTGGTGTCAAATCTAAAGAAGGAGAGAATGTCAGGTTAAGTGTGGTAACATCCAACACTGTCCTACAGCCTGTAGTTGGGAAAGGTAGGTTACGGATAACCACGTCTAGTTTTACACTGTACTGTGTAAAACTGTGTGAATAATGTATTGATGTGCTTTTCTATAGTTGTATCCAGAAAACTACATAGGTGTGGAGGATGCTTTTTCCGTGTGTGACACTTGAAGACTTCAGAAGGAAAAATAATAAATAATTGAGTTGCAGTTTCTGTAATACTAAGATTAGATAATGAAACAGTAAAGAATAAATGAAAACCTGTATTTTGCAATGTGGAGAAGAGGGCTGAGGGATGTTAGGACTACTGAGGGCTGTTAGTACACTGAATCATGGGTGATTCCTACAGTTGAGTGATAGATTTTGCAATCTGTTCCACAAAATGCAGGTTAGAATGGAAGGTACACATTTTTTTTTGTCTCATAGAATATTATATCACTTATACAGCTACCTTCTGTTGACTTATCTCAAAAACCCCACATGCTCTTCTATAGCATCTACCTTTTTTTGCAGCTACAGGTGTGAGTTTATCACTTAACCAGTTACTGGGTGTCTCCTGGTAGTGTACTATAGTGTACTCCCATGATATTTAAATCCCAGTGTTCAATATTATATTAGGAGAACAGTGAGTGATTTGTGCCAGGACATCCTCTATGGCCATTTGGGCATAGTCTCCACCTCTGCCACATGTTAATGACAGAGTATTTTCTCCCACTCCCAGGATGGTTAGCTGTGAGAACATGTAATCTGAGACAAACCCCATGCTTCTGAGCAGTCCTACTGGTGTGCTTTGTCCATGGCCAGGAAGGTCAGGAGCCACAAACCCTTTCTTACCCCTAAATCAGCTCATTTGTTTTTCTTTGATCCTGTGGTAAGCAGTAGGAACTTAAGAATTTATAGGTATAAGGGGGCACACTGAAACTCTTTGCGCCATCAACTTCTGCGTATTGCCAAGGCACAGATAGTTCAGAGGTATGGGTCACAGGACTGAGGTTGACTTTTCCGGGGAGTGTAATAGTAGAAAACAAGATGAAAAAGTTTTCAGAGATCATCTGAGCAACCTGATGTAGTGGAAGGTGTCCCTGCCCAGGGCAGGAGTATTGGATCTAGATGATACTTCAGCTCCCTTCCAACACAAGCCATTCTATAATTGTGTGATCTTTGCCTTTTCCCCTTCAGAGACAGGTCAGGTTTTACTGACCTATTCCTGACAGATTTTCATCAAACTTATTTTTAAAATTCACCCAAAATTGTTGGAAGTTTTACGGCTTCTAGACTATTAATCTATTTCACTACCTTAATTACAGTTATTAACTTATATGTATAAATACCATTTCCTTTCATTTTCTCAATACCCTGTATGTATCTGAAGACAGATAGATGTTTTTCTTTTCTACAGGTTTTACTCATATTTTTGCAGTAGCAGACTTTGAACTCAACTTTCTTTATGTGCTCTCTTTGGGTAGGGATGAGCTAATTACTCTCAATTCAAAGCAGCAACTCAGTTCCTCCAGGAACAAGAGAATTTGGTGCAATTATTAGCTGCAGATATAAACAGTGACTGTCTTTTTATGGAGAAGCTGTTACTTGCAATAAGTGAATGTAATTTGATCTACTAGTTCAGTTTTATTATTTTCTAATATTCTATCTTCCTTATAACTATTTAAAACACTTTTTGTGCCTTTTGTGGATTGTGACTCATATTTTAAAAGACAGTCCTTTAAATGTCCATTTACTCTCTCATTTGGTTCATGCTTCCCATAACATCTGGTGTGAAAATTGAAGTGTGTCTTCCAGGGCAGACTATACCAGCATTGAATAGAACAGGGTTTGTTTTTTTTTCCCCGTGTGTGTCTATATTGGAGTACTTGTGTTTTTATATTTTAGTTTATTTTTTCCTCTAATAGTGTTATGATACTGTCTCATAGGCATTTTGTGATCCAGTGTTGCTGTTGGATCCTTTTTCGTAGAGGTACTCTTCAACTGGTCATTCCCCATCTCCTGAGTTAGTTATTTCCTCTAAATAACATGCTTTGTCCCTGTTGAATTACATCCTAATTTTGTTAGATTATTTGTCTAGTTTGTCAGAATTTACTTGCCTTCCAGAGAGTCTGCAGCCCTCTCCTGATTTTCTGTTATTTGTGTTCCCAGTCTGTCTATTTTGCCATATATGGCATGGATGGAGATTCAGGGTTGCACTAAGATGAAATCCTGAGCCCTCTATGAAACTCCATTGCAGATATACACCTAGTTTAACTGTAGTAATTACTTATTACATATCCTTTTTCCAGCTGTTTTTTACCTGTTTAAAAGTGCTTTCACTTACAACTTTCCTGCTTTATAGATGGCAATGCTTTGTGACAAAAACGTTACTGCAGTTAACATGCTTTTCCTTTACCCATTAAGAAATCCTGTTTTTCTTTATTATGCTTAACCTGTTAAATGACACTGGAAGCAAAGAAGATATTGAACAGCTTTTCAATCTATGCCATTGTTTCTGATATTAATGATTTGGCAAGCCTTCTTTGTAATCTTGTGCATTCTTTCTTTTCCTAGCTATGTCTTATGTCTAGCAGTTCTGAGTTGTTTTTTTATGTCTTGTTTCTAACAGTGTTTCTATCTGGGCTTGTCCCTGTCTTTTGTAGGTAGAAGATAATGCCAGCAGATCAGGCTGTAGCATTGCAGGGCTTCACAGCTGCTGCCTTGCAGTGTGGTGTTTGACATCCTTACAGAACTCCTGATTTGGTCTCTTGTTTGTTGACTTTTAAGTATTTTCTGAAGTTGTAAAGGATTATCTGTTTAGAGAAATGCACTTTGGAAATTTTAAATGGTTTTACCCCAGTTTGAAAAAAAAAAGAAAAAAAAAGGGTCAAAATTTCCCTTGCAGCAGCTCAGCCAAATCTTACCAACTCTCTAGCTGGACTTCTTAGAATGTGTGCTTGTTAACAAAATAAAGGAATGTTAAAATATTCTATTAGAGTAAAGTTAGAAATTGAGTTAATGAAAAAATGAAGGGGTAACCAGTGGTTATATAGGTAAATTGTTGTCATATATATGTCTTTGTGTAAACTGTAAGGAATATGTGTTGTTTATAGGGAGATGCTTTTAAGAGCTTCTCTATTAATTGGCTGCTTTTATTTTTACAGCTTACACAGCTCAGGCAGATGAGAAGACAGGCCCTAGTACTCCTAGAGATGCTCATGCCAGAGCCTTACTCATTTGCAATGGACCTTTAGAACATTATGACTTTTTGATTAAGCAGGAAGAGCTGAAGAATGATGAGCAACAAAGAAGAGTTGTGCAGCACCTGCAGAAATTGCATGAGAGCCTTAAAGGCTACAGCATTGGTTCAAAAAATGTTCTTTCAAAGGTGAGGTTTATAATGATAAAAAATATTTTTTGCATTTATATTTGCTCGTAAGAATGTGCTTAAAATGTATAAATTTCTGTCAAGATCACAAATCTTATTTTTGCAAATGCATCTTTCCAGATAGATCATTCTTCATGTTTCAGTCTCTCTTCTTTCTTCTTTGGTTTGTAAAATCCAATGGCACTCCAGAAATAGCCAAATTAGATATTACTGAAATAATTCTGTAAGAGAATCTAATGTGGTTTTAGTTATGTCCACTGCCTACTTTTCCAAAAATGTTGTTTGGCTATAGGATAGAGGGGCCTAAACCAGGTTTTAATTCTCAAGTACTGGCATTATACTTGTGTGTTTAGATTATATAAACTGAACACTGATGTTTTGTGTTTGAACAGATATTCCACAAATAATTCTACATTATAATATGTATCAGACATGACTTCTAAAAACAGTTCTTCTCCATGTTGATAGCTTCCAGGTGAGGTAAGGCAAGAAGGCCTTATCATAATGTGCACCCTTGTTGTGTTTTTGGGGGCATCACAGTTTGTTTTCAAATGATTTTCCAAAAGTTTAGACATACTCCTGTTGCACATTGCTTTAACATTATAGTGCTCTTAGCCAGCTGTTGCATCTCTGTAACTTTTCCCTGAAGCTCTTGACACAATGTTTTCTAGACTCTCTTTTACAGTATTTTCCACATCTCTTGTTTTTATGCTGTTATTCTCAGATTGCTGCTCTGGTGGCCTTGCACCTGCAAATACTGATACCACTGGTATGGCATGTTTTCATGGGAATCAGCTAGAACTGATGTGGGAATTCCCTCTTCAGATTTCCTTGCCTCTTGTTTTGTAGATCTGAGTTTATATCCCAGAAAACCAAATGTAGCATCCAGCCAAGCAGATAAGACATTTACTTCCTTGCTAAATATTGAGCATAGATGTGCACAAAAGTTGAATGCCCAGTGAATGTGCTTCATTTGCACCTGATTAACATATTTCAGTCAGCACAGTTGTAAGCTGTGATAGGATGAAACAACAAGAGTGGGATGTTTGACTAAGTCCGATGATAAAAGTATAGTGCTGGGGGAACAGCATGGCAAAATATACATTGCTGTCTATCTGCACTTTCCCAGCCTGCACTGGAGAGACCTCCTTGTCCTTGGGCGGAGGGAATCTGTCAGCATTTTCCCTAGCTAGACTCTGAGTTTATGTTTTGGTTTCTTTCTTTCTCTTGCACCACTTTAGGGCTTTTTTTTCATCAGAAGTAACTTTAATATTTATGGTCAATAAATGTCTTTTGTAGTCCTTGCTAACAAATCTCCACGTCACCCTTTTTAAGCATTCATTACACAACACTCCTCATCTCATGGGCATAAATCTAAATATGCTGCTCTGTTAAACTTGTTACCTAACCATACCAGATTGTTCTCTTACCTAGCACAAATACTGTCTCGTTTGCAGGTTGCAGGGCAAGACTAAATGATGTAGCACGAGATCAGAGAGCCAAAGTCTGTGAAAAAAATGTTATGATGAAGGCACTGGCTTTACTGTCAAAGCTGAGGATCAGTAGGCAAGAGCATTTTGGCAAGAAGTTGTGGACATTTGGATATTAAGTACTAAAAGCACTGCCCTGGAGAATTATTTTGAGAGCTGACTTGTGTTAACTGGAGTGCCCCAAATCATTGTTAAGTCGTTAGAACAGGTGTCATGGCTTTGTAGATCAAGTATTATGTGAGTTTGTTATTTAGTGATTCTTTGATTGGGAAGTGTGAATAGGGAAGAAAGCTTGTATTGCAGAGAACAAATACCAACCTTATTTTGTTTAGGGAATATGATGCTGCTATGTCCCTATGTAACAGAGCTAATTGCAGTAAAGCCAGACTGACACTTTCTAACTTAAATGCCATTTTTACTTGAGAATGTGTTTTTCACTACTTCCTTTAAAGCATTCCTCTAAATTGATTTAATTTTAAACCAACTTTTGAAAATTGTTGCTTGGCTCACTGATGAACTAATGAGTCAATGAGAAGCAGCTGAAGAACTACTTGCTACAGGGGTAAGTGTTATTTCAGTTTGAGGTTTGTCTTCTAGAGTTTGATATTTCTATGGAAATCTTAAGACTGGTAACAGGTTGAGCACTTTAGTGCCATGCCATACATCAAAACCCCAGAAAAGGAGGAGAGCAGTGACTTCTGCATAAAGTGTTAAAATCTGCTAGCTTGTGTAATTAAATGAAATCATGATTCAGGGAGAAGAAGTCACAACAGCTTTGTTCCTCTTCTGCTATCTTTGAGGAAGCAATTTGCCAGTCAAAAAGAGATCCTTATGAGATAAAATGAAGCTAAACAGATGATAGTTTAAATTCTAGTACAGGCCAGGTTTTGCTTCAGCAAAGTTGTAATCAACATCTTAATGAAGGTTTCCCCAGAATACGTCACAAATGTGACTAGGTAGTTGGTAAAATCATATGCTTATCATGTGTTTACATCTGTTGAGGGGTTTCCTAAGTAAGCAATATACTTGGTTTTTTGTTATGGACTTTCAGTGTAGTGATGCTGCTGCAGACTTTGTTCAGTTAGAGCAAAGGTTTTTCATGCCAAGAGGAGCTGGTGCTGAGTACTACTGCCTGGAGTTGGCCTGGGTTGCATAGGATTTGTGTTGGTTTATGGGTGGAATTCATTCCTATGACCAGTAGGAGGCTTCTCCAGGAAGTATTAATAATACTGGTAAATCCTCTATTTGTGAATAGCTCGTTGGTATTTTCCTCTCATGGAGGCCAGGTACTTTGTAACTTTGAATACTGTCATGTTTTTGTAATGAAACCATTGGATTTCCTTTCTGTTTTGTACTCAGTGAGCTTTAATAGATGTAAATTAAACAAATTGATTTTAAACTAATTAAGGATATGTTTTGAAAAAATAAAATACTTTATCAGTTATACTTAGTATTTTGTAAGGTGATTTCTTGCTTTCTCAGGAGGTTTCTAGCAACTTGAATAGCCCACTTTTAATATGAAATCTTCTGTACTGAGAAGAAATTAATCTACTGGCAGCTTTTACAAAATAAAAAAAAAAATAAAAATAGTGGTGCTTGGCATTTCAAGTGTGCTCATTTTTCCTGGCTCTGTTATTGAAGAGAATGTGGTTGAGAGGTTGCGGTGAAGAAGAAGGGGCCGTGGAAGAGAAACCTCTCTCTACCAGGCTCTTCTGTAGTCTGTTATTCCATATTTTATTGCTTGATTTCTTCTGTGACAGAATTGCAGAAGCCTCTTCCAAAATAGCAGAAATTAGTCCAGAAATAGAAATTTCTTGCACTTCTGAACCGTTGCAGAAATGGTCTGCTTTGGTTTTAGCTTTGTTCTTCTTTTGTCACTTCTTCTCTAAATAGTTTTATTCACTAAAATACAGTAAAAGTAGGATTAGGGAGCAAATATTTATATCAGATACAATAGAGGCCTTTCAGGTTTTTTTTTTATCCAGAACACTTGTGTTACCTCACAGGCCAAATCTTTTTGAAATGTGTAGTCTGGGGCACACAGACACACCAGACACCATTTTCTTCATGGTAATAAAACTGTTTTGTTACCATGTAGGTTTTTTGAGGCATCAGCTTAGAATGAATCTCAGGGAAAAAAACAATTAATCTTGCTGCCAGCCAAGTAGGCTTCTGTTTTTTAAAATTACTCCTCAAATTTGAACAAGGACTTTGATCTTCAACTTGGTGAAAGCATGGCCTTGTGTGTTGAGATATTTTGAGATCCTCTGAATTAAAGTTCAAGGCCGTAAGAGTTTGCATAGACATTTCAGATCTCCAGCTTTTCAAAATAATACCAACTGGGACATCTTAAGAGTTGTTGAGTTGCTGTACTAATGACTTGAAATAAGCTCAATTATAAGTGAGGTCATGTTTTGAAAAGAGGTATGAACAATAGTAAACACCATTCAAGACCTTGAAAATGTCTTCAGCTACAACAGCAGCCAAAAAGGAGTCCTGAAAGAGTGGGAGAAATAGGCAGTTTTGTTAGCTTTAAAAAAAAAAATCTGCTGTTGGGAGACTTGTCTCTTGAATTTTGCATATTTTAATTAACCATCTGAGTACTGACATGCATTGGCACTTAAGTTTTTCCAGTCAGTGTGTAAATACTGCCAGGAAATGCGTTGCTTACTTCTGATGTCCAAGCTGGGGACAAGGTGGGAAGACATTGCATGTTACTAAAGAAATTCTCCCCTTCAAACTCAAATTTTGTGTATCACTTATTATATTTGGATCAGTACCTTTTAAATATTAAATTTAACATCCTTAAATCTTACCATTGTTGCCAAAGAGAACATATTATCAACAAATTTAAAATTGTTATGCTGAGACCCCAAAGGTACCTCAGGATAATATGGAAATGAGCAAGGAGAAATCATTAATTTAGTTTGTCTTTCTACCTTTCCTACTGTTCTCCCTTTCCTGCCTGAAATAAAGTAGACTGTCCATATTTTAGGGTCACTGGAGGATCTTCTGCTTTAGATCTCCCCCCTCCTTGCAGTGTATGTTTGCATAAAACCAAGATCAGTATTCTGCTTTCTTTGCCCCTACATACCATTGACTGACTGCTTGCTGTGATTTAAATTGAATGAAACATTGATGGGATTTTATCAGCAATCCTAGTGGAAGTTTCCCTTTTTCTTAGACAACTTCCAGGCTTCAAAAAATGCATTAGAATAATTAAAACAAAAAGAAAAAAAAAATCCATTTTATAATAATGCAAAATAGTTTGAGAATGGTAGGATGTCTGAGTTTTCAGTATTAAAAAAAAATCTACCAATAAAGCTTTAGTTTTTGAAATAAAAATTATTTAAGAAAAAAAACGAAACCAAAATGACCAAAGAATATAAAAACAAGTTCTTACAGTTATACAATATCTGACAGGAATGAGGAAATCATTATCCTAAAGATGTCAATAGTGGGAAGTTTAGAAGTATATGTAAAGTATTTCCTACAAACTTCTTTAATTGCTGAAACAGGACAAGATGTTTTCCGACATTTGATTTGTTTTTAGAGATGATCAACAAATATGTTTGGATCTGCCATAGTATCCATCCTTTTTAGCAATCAGATATCGATCAAAAATTGCTGTCTTCAAAGGGAAACAAATTTAATTTTTAAAATCAACTTTTATGGAGCACAAGCCATTATATTTGTTTCCTTTAGTCAAAACAAAAGTTCCTTTTTCTGTAATATTATCTGGAAATAAGTATGCCTAAAAAGACAAATATTAAGGTAGTTAAATGTAATTAATAAAAGTTTTACAATGAAAATATTGGTATAAAATATAATCTTTGCAAAAACAGGTAAAGCTTTACTCTACACACCGATTTGTTTTTCTAGCTTTGTGCTGCTTCTTGTGAAACTGCAAATCACATCAATACAGCCTTCCTGTATAATAAATTGAATATGATAGTCTGTTATATTGTTAAAATATTGTTGGTAATCTAAAACTAAACCCATAGAGATTCTTTTGAAAATGTTTCATTTGGATTTTTGTATGTTTCTTCTTTTCTCCTGTAACTTTGAGCATCAGTAGTTTCATTGAACACAAGCTCTTTAAAAGTACACACTGAAAATATTCAACAATTAAATTGTTTTACAGTGCTTTCAAAGTACTAGCAAATAGTTGCAGCCTTGTCAATTAATGGAATAGTTTCCAAACATCTGAAACCCTTTCCAGCCACAGATTGATGATACAAATTTTTGATTACCCTATTAATAGAGATCTAAATTAAATCAAAACAGGGCTCTTGTTTAAGAGCCATGCTTGCATATTTTCTAAGTGAGCTGGTACTGTAGACCCAAGATATTACCCTTCTACTTCTTGGTCATGCATTTTCTTTTATATTTAATTAGGGTTTTGTACTGACTCCTCTATTTCTTTACCACGGCACTATATTTTGAAAAAGTGCTTTAGATTCAAGTTGTTTAGCAATTACCCGGCTCCAAATGAGACCACAGGGTTGCAATTTTGATTTTCTTCTGTGTTGGCTCAGCCCATAGAGCTCTGAAAGTGGAGCACTTTAAAATAAGCAAATGCTCTTCTACAGTGTGTTTTGTGGATGTCAATTCAGTTTCATGGATTTGATTGAATTTTATTAAGATTTCCAGTTTTTTAGAAACTGCTTCTTTCTTGAATTGTACTTGGAAATGGCTGTGCACAGTACTGGAGGAGAGGGAAAGAGGACTATTTCAAATTGAAAGTCTATGCATTACTGGAAGTTTTTACATAAAAATATATACTTGAGTAAAATAGATATCAGGTGTCATAACATATGTCCTGAATAATATTAAGAAATTTAAAATTTTTAAGCAACATTCATTTGAGATGAAAGTAACTCACTTGAAAAAATGGTTAATAAAAGGCATACTTTGAAAGTATATTTTTATATGTTTATGTGTTTATACATATACAGACAGATGCACGTGTATATAGAAACATATTTTTAACATTTGAATAATGTTTAAACTAGAGATAATTTTGGGTTTAATATTTAAAGCTGAGAGATGAGTATCTACAATGTTCGTGGGCTTTGCAGTCCTGACTTTTTAAGTCCTAATAGTTTATCTCTTTAGCAGACCTGCTGTAGTAGGTATTTAGTGCATATATTTATGCTTAACTTTATATTCTTTTCTCCTAGGACTATTTGCTCAAACGGCTCAATGAGGCAAAAGATTTGTTTTGATTATGGTGGATTTGAAACATTGAATCATTTTATGTATTGTGATAAAAAAGCACATGTACTAGGGCTGGAGAGATGGGGATATTTTCACAATGGTCTAAAACTATCCCAAAGCCCAAGCCTTGCATGCGTGTTTTGCTTCTCATATAGAATTTGCACAATGACAACATTACTTATGAATTCTGAGCTAATGATTTAGTCAAGGTTTCACTTTGCTGCTCAGTGCTGTTGTTGTGATTAAGTGTAGCTGCTTTCTTACTTTTATCACAGCCATGTGCTTGCTTTTATTTTACCCCATATTTACTTTTTTTCTCTTGACTTGCAGCTCTTTGCCAAAACCAAGCCCCCAAAAGGTCTTTATGTCTATGGAGATGTTGGTAAGTATAATTTACATCCAGTGGATTTTTTTCTAAATTAATGTCTATTTGAATTCTGAAGTGTCTGAAAGCTGTATGTTTATGTAGCTTTATTGGTTTAATGAATTTTACTGGATGGAACATTATGATGTTATTTAATATAATTACACTCTGAATGCTGGAAGCTGTTTGATTGGACAACATTACTATGTGTAGTTGTTTTCAGTCTTACCCATTCTCTAATATTTAAGAATGCAATTTAAGAATTTGGGAAGTAATTGTGGGAGAGTGTTCATATATTCTAATTGTAACAGTGCAGCATGAAAACATACTTGCTTTCCAAATGAAATACTAGCATGTTTTATGGATCTGTGGGGAGTAACTTGTGCAACCTTTGGGCCACGTCTGTATTTTAAAACAGAAAAATAAAAATGTAGTTCTTCCAAGGTTTTGAACAGAAAACATAACTGCTCCTCACAGCAGTCTGGTCTTGTACTTACCCTGTGGAAAATTATAGTTTCATTAGGGCAAGCTAACAATCGTGACTGTAATCAGCACATACTGCTCTTAATTACTTGTTGAGTGTTTTTTATTGTTCTTAATTGAAGGCACAGGAAAGACAATGGTGATGGACATGTTCTATTCTCACTTAGAAGTAGAAAGGAAAAAGAGAGTCCATTTTCATGGCTTCATGTTGGATGTACACCAGAGTAAGTGCAGACACAGGTATTGACAAGAATTTTATAAAATACACTATCAATTAAAAAGTCTGTCTCATATTCATATTAATCACTGTCATTTTATTTAAATATTTAAGCATAAAAAAAAGTAAAAAATAGGAGAAAAGTGAAAGCATGTTAGCATTGTTTATCATATAAACATATATATTAATTGCATATTATGTCTCAAGTATCTTTTCTGAAAGAAAAATGTACATACCTGGTTGTATATATAACTTGAGTATATTGCTTAGAAGGAAATCCTTAACTAAATGTTTTCTAGGTGCCAATTAGCTTACCTGAAATCCAAATAAGGCAATTGCTAAAACTGAAAATGTAAAGGTTAAACTCAATCTGTATTTTGAATAAGCAATAACTAAATCAAATATAAATGCCAAGCACAATGGGAACTATTCTGATTGAGTAACTTAGTAAAATTGTCAGTAATTTAGAGGAAAAAAGCAATAGAAAGAAGTGCATCCTAAGTTTCAGAAAATTTTCTGGTCAGCTGAATAAGGTGCTTTGTTTTGACAGGCACGCTGTTCTAGATATTTGAAAACATGTTTCTGTTTCTAAATTCTGTGACCTTATAATACTGTCAAATTGTTATCTATTGCTGTATTTTACAAAGCTTGGGAAGCTTTCACTGGTGTAAATAACTCAAGCCACTTTTTAATGCCCACTTTTCTATCATTGCTGGGTCACTTGAAATTTTGTTTCCATTTCTTGTAATTTTTAACTTAATCTTAACAAAGGTAGCTTCTTTCTGCAGGATCCTTTTTTTCCTCTGAATCTTTGTTTATAGTCAGATGCAATACAATCCACGAGACAGTAAGGTATGGATTTAATAATCTTACCTTGTGCCATTATCATCATCTTCACATGTTGAAGTATAACTGTGTTACTATGTCTGTCTTCTTTTAGCTAAATACATTCTAAAAATACCTTCAGAGCAAGATAAAACTGCAATTTGTATCAGTTTATACAAGATAAAGTATAGGTGCATAGCATTCAAGACGTTTTTGACATGTGTTTTACAGCTTTCTTAACAAAATAAGAATCACAAAATCTGTGAGCTTTTAACTGTTGTGTGGATGTGGTTGAAAAATGTTTTAGCCTTTTGAAACTGGATTAAGTTTGAAGCTTTCTTATTTTTACTGGACCAGTTTACTTTTTATTTAGCTAAAGAATTTGTTCTTTCTATCTTAGAAAAGGAAATAAGAAGTATTTGTTTTTTTCTGTTTTGTCATCTAAGGAATACATCGCCTTAAGCAGAACTTACCAAAGAGAAAAGCAGGATTTATGGCCAAATCATATGACCCAATTGCACCTGTGGCAGAGGAGATAAGCAAAGAGGCTGCTCTCCTGTGTTTTGATGAGTTTCAGGTAAGAAGTCATAGATTATTCCTTCATTTCAAGGGAAACTTCATAAAATTAATTTTCATCTTAAAATACAATATTTGTTACTGCTAATACAGTATTTGTATCACTGGCCAGTAGTGACCTGTAGAAGTTAAAGACTAAAAGTCACTTTACAGTTTTGAAGATGGTGGGGTTTGGTTTTTTTTTTTTCCACAGTAGACAAGATGCAAGTTAGCAGCATAATTCCCCTTACAGTGCTTTTTTTTACCAGTCTGGTTATTGATCATACAAGGAGGTATTAGAGTTTGTCTAGAGGCTCATGAATTCTTCAGGACAGGAACTACTCCTATACCGAGTCTGTACAATGCCACCTGCTTGCTTGCCACTGATTTTTGCTTTTGTAGTTCATATAATGCAACAAACACTCTCAATATGGTTAAGGATTTTAAGAAACTTCTATTGAATTAAATGTGAAGATTAAAAATAAGTTTGTAAAATGATCTTTGCCCAAGCTAACTTGATTATTTCATTTGTTTTACACAGCTTGTGAATATTAAGGGCATGTCACAAACCTAAATGTAAAATTCTTTATAAAAATGTTTAAGAAAAAACTAGAGATATTTGGCAGCTTTAACCAAAAGCTGAGACTTTTTTTTAATTCAGAGAGAAAATGCAGAGCAAGATATGAACAGATCTATATTAGTTCTCAAATCACCAATAGTAAAATAATCTATTAAGTGAAATTGTCTGTTATAGTGTTAAATTAATACATTTCTGAAATGGATGGAGCAGTTTATGTCTCCTGGCTATTATTTTGCACACCTGCACATTTGAGGAAATAACTGTTCTATGGTTAGCTTCCATGAAGGGAATTTTGGTCATGTAACAGTTGTTCTTATTTTATGTTTCTCTTGCTTTTTTTCACTATTAAGTGAAATTGTCTGTTATAGTGTTAAATTAATACATTTCTGAAATGGATGGAGCAGTTTGTCTCCTGGCTATTATTTTGCACACTTGAGGAAATAACTGTTCTATGGTTGGCTTCCATGAAGGGAATTTTGGTCATGTAACAGTTGTTCTTATTTTATGTTTCTCTTGCTTTCTTCAAGCAGGGAGGAATTCAGAATGTGTGGGGTCATTGCAATTGCTTCTGTTCAGTCATTTAATTTGTGCTCTGTCCAGTGAATATGATTATGCTGGGCTTCCAAAACCTGAGTGTAAAATCTAAATACAGAGACAATTGTACTTACACTATGAGGAAATGGGAAGTTCAGGAGAAGGAAGTGTTAACTGTCATGGCATTAAATGCTCAAATGGTAGCAAATGGCTGTACCATGTGTTAGTGTAAACACTTGCTTTTCTGTACAAATGCTCACTGCTTTCATGTTGCAGTATCGCAGTGTTTATAGACTGTCTGTTGTATTTCCGCATTTTAAAGGGAGAGACTGTGGTATATTTTGTTCCCAAGTTGATTGCCTGCTCCCCCTGCTGACTTGCTTGAGGTACACCAATGACTTCAGTTGTAAAAATCACCTGTTCTGTAGAACTGTTGCAGTTGGGAAATTAATTCAAGAACTATACTTTAAAATGTGTTTCCAAGACTTTGCATTAATAAGTGAATTTTTAAAATCTACTTAGTTTGGATATACTAATTTTCTAAATTCACAAATTTCTGAATGGCTGGATTTCTTGCCTGATTTTCTGTAATGTGGAACTCTACACAGGTTTTGCCTGTTTAAGAGTTCCAGCTTTCTGAAATTTTGTAGAAGGCACTGAATTTGGGATAAGAAACCCTCTGCTTCAATAGCCTTAAAGTAGTGCAGTGACGGGAAGAGGAGCTCACATGGTGACAAAAATAACATTAATAATAAGGAGCCATATTTAATTTGGGATGTTTGCAGCTCATTTCTGCGGTGGAGATCATGGCTTTATTTCCGTGCAGTCTGATTTACTAGTATTTAAAGAATTTCTAGATTAAAATGAAACCAGAAAGAGCTGCAGACTTAGAACATACACTGCTCTGACTTGTGGACAAAGCAACTCTCTGTTTTGACAGATGAAAAGTGAGGTTGTTTTGGCAAAATAATAGTGTGTGGAGACAACATCAGAAAACTGTTGAGATTTAAACACTTCAAGTTGCTTTCAGATGCCTGCTGAACATAAAAAAAGGAGAATAAGTTGAAATTAATTATTTATTTATCTTAAGAACAGAAACATGGATGAGTAATATTTTAAACAGGGACAACAAAACATATTGTTAATGCTCATTTTGCAGAGGAAATCAAATGCAGAATTTCAGAAGACAAAAGCATTGTTGAGGTTGCATTTTCCTCATTGACAATGTGCTAAAGCAAAACAGAAGTATTCTGAACTAAATCTTCCTGTAAAACCCAGAGAACTGTTAAGCAAGTGGAGAATTGACTAATTGATCTAGAAGAATATTTCAGTACTTCATTTAAAAGTATTTTTCCGTTCCAAAGTATTGCTGTATTAACAAAACAAACAAACAAACAAAAAAGTTTTAATGTTTCTTTGTGCAAATACTATGTGATAGCCAGGATCTCAGTGATGGCACTTTGCTTGTGTTTGTCCATTTTGAAGCAGGATTTTGTCAGCAGTTGCCTGAGCCCTAGGCTGTCAGCATGTTTTACTGGTCTTTGTCATGCAGTTTACTGGAAATATTAAAGTATTTTTTTAATCACAGAACTCTTAAGCCATTCTGAAAATGTCTTCATTCTGAAGAAAAAAAAACTAAAATTAAGCCATTTGTAATTATGAGATTTCAGAACACAGGGGTGGGCAGTGACCAAATAACTCTACACAGGTGATTAGAAGCTGTAATTTTGGCACGAGACTGTAGCCTGTGTTAGCATTGATAATGAACCCGGAGTCCCTCCTTGGGAAGCTGGGCGACGATGCAGTGTTAGCCTTAAGCTACCAATGGTACCATTTGGACTACAAATGTGATGTAACAATTTAGGGAGTTTTTACTCACCTGCATTCTATTGAAAGTCTCTAATAAAAATTAGGCTTTTACTTTTGTGCTAATACTAATTGCTGATAATACATGCTTATGTTTGTCGTTCGTTACATGGAACTGTACCAATCAGTGGCTGACTGAGTGTCAGGCACTTAAACATGTAAATTAACTATTAGTCTCATGTCTTTGCTTTTTTTTTCTTTTTTCTCTTAAATGCTAATGAAATTTCTCCATTCTCTCCTTATTGGTAATTTGTAGACTTTGCTTTTATTATCAGTTGCAGTAAATGCTGGATACAGTAAAAATCATGAGCACTTATGATCCTTTGGTTACTGTCTTTTATCTGCTTCACCTTGTAGAATTTTTTTGTTTCTCCTAAAGTGTATTAGATAAAAAGAGCTCATATTTGTATCTTGGTCCTCAAAATGGCTCTTGCTTTTTGACAGAACTTTCAAGAGGTTTGTTTGGTGTTTTCTTGCATACGTTATTGTTGAGGGAATTTTTTTTTTTTTTTTTTTTTTATGGAGCTCAGAATTCTGCATCAAAAAGCAGTTCTCATTAATAGGAGAATGTTATTGTTTTGTTTTATGTGAGCATTAATACTCTTCATTCCCTGTTTGCTAAAGGTAGTGCACTTTGTAGTAGTATTAAACAAAAAGGTTTGTAACAAAATTATTTCCATAATAGAATTTTAAAACTTGGCTTTTAGGTGTGCTTTGTGGTGCAATAAATTCAGTTACTGCTAAGATGCACATCTGTAATGGTTCCTTGTGTATCTTGTTTTTTTAGAAATTAGAGAATTTCCTAAATTTTAGCATCCAGAAAAAAGAAATTATTGATGAGGAAACATAAACAAGTGTATAAAACATATGTTGTGATAGTAAATTACTATTTTTTTTTAATATCAGCTCTTAGGGAGCATAGCTATGCAAATCTGAGGCATGTGTAATTGTGTAAAAGTTTGTTTTATATAAAGGAAAAAAAAATCCCTATTAAGGTGTTCACAGAACAAAATGAAAAAAACCTTTGGAAGAAGGAAACTAGGGTTTATATATCATTCATTAAGAACGTTATTGCTTCAACTAGCTGCCAGAAATATAACCTAAGTCTTTTACCTATGTTTCTAATGTAGAATTATCTTTTTTTTTTTTTTTTCTGCACAGAAAAGTAATTTAGAAATGGGAGAATTATGGGGGATGGAGGGGTGTGAAGTAGAAGAAAACATTATGCTGGGTAAAACTTTCTGCACATGTGTTGCCATCACAGCATACACATCTAAGGTGGTGGAAGCACAGCAATCTGTCAATCTCTTGTGTAATGGGAATGTATAAGTCCCAGCATGCCACCACTGGTTTATTTCCTCAGAACTGGGGACTGTTTTGGCAAGCCAAATGCAACAAGTGTCTTTATAATAACCACAGGGTCTGCAGGAAAATCAAGTGTAATGATCATAAAGGTGGTTTATGTATTAAGATGGTGAACTCCTTTAAAATATGAATTGCTGATTTTTCAGAAAAACTTGATATATTTATTTACAGCATTTTTCCTGCATCCTTTTATTTCTTGGCACTATAAAGTAAATTTGTTAAGCTAAAATTAATATACTAAAAGAAATTTTACTTAATGGCTTATCTTGTAGTAATTTTTTCTTCCTTACCCCTCCCCAGTGTCAGTTGTCCTACCCATTTTTATTTTTTATTCGTGTTTTGTGCCTGAAGGTTAGAAGAGGCTGACTGTGCTGGAAGTGACTGCCTGCCTTTTGATTATTCATGGACAGTAATAGAAGGCACTTAAAAAGAACAATGAAATTGCTTATTTTTGTGATGGGCCATCTGTTGAATTGTTTTTTGCAACAATCACACAATAGTATCTATGTCATATCATTCTATTTTCAACAGCAGCTGATTATGTATAGTTGGCTACTTGTCTTTATTTCTGAAGTCCCATGACCATTTTAAATTCACCTCTGCAAACCTTTGCCTCAAAGGTAATAGAAATGTAAAACAGCCGGTGTGTATCTCTTTTTATCTTCTGTTTTTTTTTTCATGTTGTTCCTAATTAAGTAGGCTCTTAAATGTTTAGGTCTGTTTTCTGTGTCTCCCACCTGTAGTTTTATAATAGAAGTTAACATGGAATCGTTTAGCAGTCGGTAAAGAAATGGTGGAGTTCTGCAATAAAGAGTGGGCAAGTTTTGAAAGACTGTAGTACATTCACTGCTTATTAATTATCCCTTTTATTTTTTTCTCACCAAGCAATAATTAGAATCTTTTTCCATGGCTTTCACTAACAAGCATTTTCCTAGCTACAAAGCCACTTGCAGATCTATTGCAGCAGAAGCTGAAAGCAAGATATAACAAATGTGTTGTCTTCTCAGGTCACTGACATTGCTGATGCCATGATTTTGAAGCAGCTTTTTGAAAATCTCTTCCAAAATGGGGTTGTCGTTGTGGCAACATCTAACAGGCCGCCAGAAGGTAAAAACAAACATTCTACCAGTGTTGCCCAAATCCAATGAATCTCAGTTTCTTACCAAACAATTGTATTTATATCATACAGTATTTAATACTAATGAACTCTATAGACTGCAAGAATCAGAGATATTCCAGCTTATTCCCTGCTTTTTCTTGTTCTTAAAGAAGGAAATGTTTTTCACTTCATCTTACTCCTCCTATATGTCAAACTTGGAGTGTTCTTTCCTCCACCACTCTCAAAACCTTCTGTTTTCTCTGATCTCCTCTACTCTATCCAAACCAGTAAGAGGGTGTTTGGACACAGGGCAGTTTAGGAGGGGTAAAATATTGCCTGTATTGCATGTGTTTAAGGATAGGAAAAGATCAGATCCTGTAAAAGAAGGGAAATTATATCCATTCCTTCCCAGTTTCTCACTCAGAAACTTAAAGATGTGGTCCACCAGCTTGAAGGAGAGCCACTTACCAAGGTGCCATTCTTACCTTCTTACAAGCTGGTTTGAAAGAATTAAGTGGAGAATTTTTTCCATTTCTACCTCTTTTTATAGTGACTAGTCATTTCTAGAGACTAGTTAAGTAGGTCCTTCTACAAAGTTCCCAAATCTGTATGGGTTTTAACCTGTATTTTTTTTTGTAAAGGAGAAAAATGTTTGTATTATATAGCATTAGCAGTTAGCATAATGCACAAACTTGCATAACATTTCAGATTGATCAATTTCAAATACTGAAGTGTTACCTTAAGTGTTAACTGTAACAACCATTAATTTTCCAACCCAAATTAAATGAGTGAAAGACAATCACTAATGATGGGCAATTCTACAATGAACTTTATCTTAGCAAAAAACAAAACCAAAAAGCAACCAAAAAAACCCACCTGAATGTTTTTATTAGGGTAGAAAATTATTTTCCAATGGCTTTTTATCCTTTTTTGCACAAGCAAGACAGAATTGTAACTACTGTAGTTGTGTTGACTACAGAAAGACTGAATGCTGGTGCTTTATTCACTTGAGAGCCATCCTTGGTTTTTCGAAGCACTGCTCTTTAAAGTTCAGGAGAATTTTTTACCATAACTTAAGGATTGTAGGCAATGTTTTAAATCAAGATGTCTTTATTTTTGTATGGTTGTTTTTTTCTTATATATTAAGTCACTGTATCAACCTGAAATACATTCACCTGTTTTAAGTACCCCAGGGAATGACAAAAACAGCATTTCCAGAGCTGAGCTGGGTGTTGGATGATGCCTTTCTCTTCTTTGGTCACTCTTTGTAAGTGCTCGGGGTGTGTCTGACACCCCCCTGCAGGAAAGGGAGTTAGGTTAGTGTAATATGCCACACCAAGGTTTAAGACTGAATGGAGAAATTTATTTATTGTAGATACAAGGAGGAGAAGTGGCTTTTTCATTTGAGAGCAGATGTGCTCAGCTTCTGACCAATAGTGATGCACATAACTTTGTTGAACTCCTGCACTGGGGGAATGTGAGCAAAAATACTGAGATTGCATTTGAGGAGTCCTGGCTTTATTTCTCCACCAAAATTACTGTTTATTTTTCTGATCTCATGAAACAGAGACCCAATACAAAGCTCACAGTCCTATTAGCTAGAAGAACTAATGAGAGTCGCTGTCCTACACTACTGTTACATGTTCACTAATTTTTGCAAGTAAATATGCAATTGATTGCTACATATATTAACAAATGTATGACCATCCTGATTTGCTGAGTTAGGAATGAGCATGATACATGGCTTCCTAGAACTTCGTTAGTAATTAGGGTAATGGAATTGCCTATACTGATAACTTTTCTAAATGTTTCCACGTACACATCCAATTTTGTGAAAACCATTCTGTAGGTGCCCTGTTGCTGTCTCATGGATTCAGCATCTTCTGTCCACCATGAGGTGTTGGTAAAGCATAAAAGCTGTAGTGTAGCTGTAGCCTTCAGGCCTTATGGGGAATATAAAGGATAATCATAACCTGGCACATGCTTTGTGTGGAATTTTGGTAATATCTCTGCCAGCTGTCTGTATTCTCTTATTCATTCCTTCTTGTCAGTTATAGTGCTAAGTTGCCTTTTTATAAGGCTTCCAAATATTAATGAAAAAGAGCAGATCTTCATACAATTTTAAGTGATTATGTTTTCAAAGAAGTCATTGTGTTATGAACTTACTGGGCAATTGGTTAATTTCTGGAGAAGAAAAGTTTATATTGTATAAATATAGAGATAAGTAAGATGAAAAATGCTGCTTTGCATTTTTTGTTAATTTGGATTTTGTTTGATGATGCAGATCTGCATTTTGTTACATAACATACGTTTTTTTTCTTTATTCGGTTGTATCTTTGCCTCAATTTACGTATTAATTTAATTTTCAAGTTTTTGGCCGTAGAGGTGATCCTTTTTCTTGCTTTTGAGGAGGGGACACCTAGCAGAGTTTCTAGAAGATAAAATGTACCACAGTACATCAAATAAGAATTATGCTAACTTAATAAAGACAAATTGTGTATTTTTAGTTTACGTGGGGCTTTTGTCCTCTACCAAATACTTGGATTTAGCAGTTGCATGGTTTGGCCTTACAAGCTATACCAATGTATACCCAGCATTGCAAATAATTTTTATACCCTTGCTTTAGAACAGATGCCGCTCTAATTTCTTCTGCTAGAATTAGTTATATGTCATTAGAAATCTAAGTAATTTTTTACTCCCTGCTGTTTTCACACTTCTCAGGATGTTCTGTTCTTCTTAAGATTGTATTGAATTTTTATGTAGTAAAATAAGAGAAATGGATGTTAGCTCTCATTTTCTGCCTTTTGTTTCTCCTTCTGTCTCTAGCAACATTGAGTTTTATTTCCTAGACTAGAAGACAAACTGAAGTTATTAAGACTAAGTAGCAAAATGGTACTGATTTCATTTCTTTCAGATCTCTATAAAAATGGTCTTCAGAGGGCTAATTTTGTACCATTCATTGCTGTACTGAAGGTAAGGAGAACCACTTGTTCAATGCTTTTCAGTTTTGCCTGCTTTATTAATCAATTTGTAGAAGATTTGTAGAGGATTGCTTTGATGCAAGTTTCCACATTAAATATATCTGCTTTAACAATTCTGAGTAAAACTAATTGAAGATAAGGCAAGAAGGGATTTTTTGCTTCTGGAATTAACATGGTTTTAAAGCTGGACTTCCTTAGCATGACAAAAAAATTACCTTTTTGTCTAAGGCAGCAGAAAATGTTTGTTTGGATAAATAAGACTTTCCTGCTGGTGCAGGTATGCTGTGTAACATAGTGTCCCTCTAATATATATACTGTGTTGTACTTGTGGATATCTTACATTTATACTGCTAGAACAGCTTGCTGTCACTTTGATGTAAGGAAGGTAGAGTTTTTTCTGTACCCCTCAGTTACCTTGTTTCTGGGTCTTTCTCATGTGTAAGTAGTTTTTTTCAATGGCTGTTTTTGGGGCTTCATGTAATGTTCAACAAGCAGTGGCTCTGAAGCAAGCTTCCTTTAGTCTGCATGTTATCTTGTGGGAGGTCAAAAACTATAATAGTTTCATTTAAATTAAAAAGGGAAGATCCTTTCTCTGTGAATAACACAATTGGCACTTACTTTGCTGTTAAAAATAATATAAGCTGAAATGACACTTAAAAGTTCTGGCCAAGTTGCAGATATTTTTTATTCACAAGCTAGAATTGTATTGTTATGTTATTGGGGGCTAACATACAGGTCTCAATCCTGCGCTGCCTGGATTGACATGACATGTCAAATGGAAATAGCAGCATTTCCCTACTTCACAGAAGTATTGCTAGAATAAACACACAAATAATATTAACTATATTGGTATTTAGGATAAAAGAATTGTAAGGTAGAGTGTAGGTAGGTTTGGCTTTGTGGTAGGAGATTTGGAATTGCTGAATTGATGCATTGACTGGATGTTTCTGCTCAGGTGGTCAGCAGTAAAGCTGCTGACAGTGCCTAGCATTTTCAGTGGGCCCTTTAAGAATTCTAAGATTGCTTAATTGCCTAAGAACCTTGGATGGGATTTTCAACTGTTGACATTTGTACAATTACCAGGTTTAAAAGTTAATATGCTGTTGACATGAGTATGGCACTCTGGTACATCTCAGAATGGCTGTGTACAAAGTCAGGGAGCTTACCAGTGAGAGTGGTTCTTACCTGGATGACTTCAGAAAAGTAAGGAACATAAAAATAAATGAACAATCCACTTCCATTTCAGATTCTTGAAAAGGGTTTATTCTGTAGCTGGCTGCATTGGATGAGAGCTCCCAGTCATAGAGTATTTTCAAACATAGAAGTAGTTTCATATGCATTTGCTTTTTGAAATGCAGCAACCATGGCAAATCATTATTTTCTACATCATTCTTTGTTGACTGCAAGATTTGTCCCTGATAAACATATGGCTCTTTCATTTCAGTGATTGTCAGGCTTTAAGAATACCTATCATATATGCTTATTTATAGTTTCTTTTTTTGTCTTTTTAGCTAGCTAAATTAAAAAATGTGAAATGTAGTTTATGCATCAGAACACCTCATCAGGACTGGGAAGTTAATAAAAATTTTTAGTAGGGAACAGATGGAATGCTGAGAGAAGCAGTAGAGGTGGCTTAGTCTAGAGGATGGAGTACTGCAAAAAGAAACAAGTATCACAACCCAGACTAGAGACAAATGAATATTATCATCATAATAAATGAAGGAAGAAGCAAATGTTAACATAATCCACAAGGGCCTTTCTAAAATACTGAATTTCCTGTCGTTGTTCTTTTTCCCAGCACCTTTGTTTCTTAACACTGCTCTAAATATATGTGTCTTCAATGTCACTTTAATAAATATTACCAGTGTAACATTATTCTTTCCCAAGGATATAATTACCAAAAGTTAGATCAGAGCAAACTTATTTGCAAAATGCTTCTCTGACCCTAGTTGGAAAGTGGAAGGATAAAGGGCATGGTGTTAAAATTATTAATAAAAAAATAACGAAATCTACATTTTTAACTCAATACAGCAGAAGTCAGCATTTAAAAATCACACTGGAATGTATTCTAGAGTAAGATTTTAACCATTGACCTTTATGTTACAAAGGTGTGGATAGAACTACACTGATATTCTGGCTTTAGTGGTTTGAGAAATGCAGATTTAGGCCTCCTAGATGTGTGTGGAATCTGTGTGATGGCATTGGTGTGAATGCATAAAGTAGCTTCTGCCTCAGCTGTGCATAATTCTGTGACTAGGAAATGGATTCTGTGCATAATTCTGTTCTAGGATTTTCATGAAAATGTGAAGAAAAACACTGTATTGGTTGCTTGCAAATGTTTGATTTACAGTCTTCTCAAACTTTCCCTCACTCCAAGCCATGCGTGTCTGTGGTAATGTCAATCTCATCTGACCTGTCCCCTGGTACTGGCTTTGGCAGCTGGGACTCCTGTCATAGTTTTCTCTGGGCTCAGAGCCTCCCAGAGGGCTTTTATTTGGGGTTTAGTGGGAGTGAATATGTGGGTTGGTTTTGTTTGTTTTTTCTCAGTAATTAACTTCTGTGATCATAAATCTTAAAATAAGACTTGAGCACTAAAAGTAGTTCAAGTTAACACAGGAGTTTAAAATTCTTTTAAATGTTCTTGGCAAGGTGGAATGAATGGAAACTATTGGCAGTATATTTCTGTGAAGAGATGCTTAACTTGAAATAGAATTCAGGCTCTTTTCATTCCTTGTCAGTGGAACACGTACTTTCTAGATACAGGGTAACTGTTACACAAAAACATTTCTTGTCTTCAAATGGTCATAAGTAATGGTTTCTTCCCCAGATCTAGAGTTACCTTTGTTCATCCTCAATTTTGTTTCTATTTTCTACCATCTGTGTAATTCCAGTACCTGTGTTTGAGTTCTATTTCTTACAATGATAACTGTAAACCAGTTTCCATGGAATAAGCAAAGGGGTGAAATAGCACTCTAGGGAAGATACAGTTATCTTCCAAAGTTTGTCCATGTTGTCTTTCTAGGTGGTAGATTACTGTGCCAAATGACTATTATGTGAGGTTGCAACTGAAAAGTTCCAATTTTTAGAGCCACATGAAAGCTTCAGATCCTACAGGTGGTAGCTATGTAAAAGCCCCAGGTCTGTGTCATTGGGTGGCTCAGTAACACCACAGGCAGCTTTCTTTGCCCTATGTGCACTCCCTGTTCAATTCTGATCTTATGCCAGTGTTCTTTTGAAATATTAAATAGTTTGAGATGTATTTTTTTCAGCTATTCTTTAATCCTGTAACTCAAAGCTTTATAAACAGGAGAAGACTTTGAATTGATCAGTTCATTGTTGTGGCTAAGATTCTTTGGGACACAGTATTCCATAAGAAAGAGTTTAGTTTCTGCAACAGATAAGAGTGCTTCTTCAATCCATGAAATTTTACAAAGATAGAGCTTTACAGAGAAAAGAAGTATTAGGAAGAAAAATCTTTTAATTCTATAATTGTAATTTGATTCAGTCTCTTCTGATTGAGTTTTTAATCTCACAGTATCTCTTGCTGAGCATTTTAAAGTGTGTGGAATTCCTATGTAACTTTTTTTTTTTTTGAAGACTGTTCTTGAGAAAACTGTTGATTGCTCACAATTACTTTGTTCAAATGTAGAGAGCAGAAACACTCCAAAAATTGTTACTCTCAACCTAAAAGAAATACACGAAGTTTCTAAATGTTTTAAAGCTGATTTACAAATAAAGCTATGTATCTTGGAATCACAGAATTGTTAAGATTGGAAAAGACCTTGAATTCTGTTGAGTCCAGCTGTTAAGCCCTCACTGCCAAGTCCACCACTAAACCATATCCCCAGGTCTGTCACATCTGCATTGTCTTTCCTCCGGGGATGGTGTCTTGCTTCCTTTGGTAGTCTGTTCCAATGCTTGACAAATCCTTTTGGTGGAGAAATTTTAATCCCAGGTCCTTTTTTGCTGTGGAGCTTTCCAGCCATTCTGTTGCCTGTAGCGCTGCCTGGGGTTGTTGGGAGCCAAGTGCAGGACCCAGCACTTGGCCTTGTTGAACCTCACACCACTGGCCTTGGCCCGTAGATTCAGCCTGTCAGGATCCCTCTGCAGAGCCTTCCTGCCCCCCAGCATATCAACATTGTGCTAATCTTTAACAATTTGATGTAAGATATTATGTGAGGCTCTTGGGAAAAAACAGCAAAAGAAAGCATGCTTTAATTTAGTGTTTTGGCAGTAATTTTGGCAACATTTTAATTTTGGCAGACATTTAATGAAGACATTTACATCAACCCTTAACTGTTCTGAAATCCTAACTCTAATTCAGTGGCTAGTTCAATTCTTTGAAAAATCAGGAAGGAAAGCTCCTCAAATAATTTGTTGTGTAGAGTCTGTAATTTGAGTGAGCAGTTCTTGAGATTCCAAAGGTTTTGTGAAAGAGTAGCATGAAGCTTCAAAATGTCAAGCTGTGTCGAAGTACCAAGTATATTTTGTGTTTTGTCAGGTTTTCTTCATGCAGTAGACTAGCACTAGTCTAAATTTTAAGTGAAAGTCAAAAAGTTTTAGGACCCTTCTTAGTCTGAAAATAACTTTAAAAGGCCCAATTTTAGAAGAAAATATTTGTCTTTGGCTGCCTGCATTTTGCTTTGAGTAAAGGGGAGGAATCAGCCTCAGAAATCTATTGTCAGTAGGACATGAAATTACTTTCAACGTCTTTTTTTCTCTTTTTTTTTCTTCTACTATTAAACACCAAATAATTATTTGTTTTAAAACTATTTGGTTAAAATTACTTTTAACCATAAGTAAACATTGTACACTCCTCTCAAATAGAAAGCAATGCATTATTTATACACAGTTTTGCCCTGTCTTTCTTGAAATCACTTAATGATTATTTATTTAGAATGTTGCTGGCTGTGATTTTAATTAAAGTATACCCTTTCCTACAAAGCAAGAAACTGAGGAATTTAAAAGCATTTTCAGTTTTCAATAGCTTAC